ACTTACTGCCCGAATAGCCCATCTACCACCACCTGACCGACCGATTGTTTCGGGCACAGAGTCTATTTTGGAACCCTTATCCAAGTTTCTTGATTCGTTTCTACAACCATTTGTTAATACACTTCCTTTATACCTCAAAGACACTAGGGATTTGAGTTCCGGATTAGTCAGCCCTGGTTACCCTTGATGTCGCCTCACTTTATACTAATATTCCTCATGAGGAGGCTAGGATGTGTCTTCTCCGTGTTTTGGAGAAAAGCGAATCCCTTTCCCCACACACACACACACACATTTTTTGTTAGATTTAATTGACATCATTTTTGAGAAAAGCTTTTTCCGGTTTCAGGACACCTTTTACTAGCAGATAAAGGAAGTAGCCATGTGGAGTGCATTTGCCCCCAGTGTAGCTAATTTATACATGGGAGAGTTCGAAGATAAATGGATATTTAGTAATGTGAACAATCCATTTTACACTCACGTGTTGCACTTTAAGAGATACATTGATGATTTGTTCTTTATTCTAGACGGTTTTTCTATAGTAGAAGACTTTGTCATGTGGCTCAATTCAGTCCGCGACTCTATCAAATTTTCCTGCAAGTCGGATGTCTCCCGTATAGATTTTCTTGACACCACAGTGTTTATACATGAAGGACAGTTAGCCATACGTCCCTTCAACAAAGAAACTGATAGAAACCCGTACTTACACTTTGCATCACATCATGTAGGCCATCTTAAGAACAACTTACCTTATGGGCAGTTTTTAAGGGTGAGGAGGAACTCTACTTTGGTAGAGGACTTTGAGAAAGAAGCAGACAGACTTACAACATTGTTTACTCATCAAGGGTATCCTTTGCACATGATTTAAAAAGCCCGGTTTCGGGCGCAACAGAGAGACCGCAGGGAGCTATTGCTTGACAAGGAAAAGAGGGAGAACAACGGTAGAATATGTTGGGCCATTGGTTTCACCTCTCAGTCATATTCGATTAGAAATGTAATATTGAAACATTGGCACATAGTGACTGTGAGTGATATACCTAATTGTGAGACTCCTCCATTTATAGGTTTCCGCAGGACAACCAATATCAGAGACATGATTATTAGAGCTGATTTAGTAGACAGGGAGAGAGGGAACCACCACTGCAAAGGGACATTTTAAATGTCATAAATGTGTAGCCTGTCCACAGGCATGGGAGACCAAGGTTTTGGATTTCCCGGAGGTTGGTTTTAAGAAAGAGATCAACTTCCTGTCGACCTGTTCAACAAGAGGAGTGGATACCTTTTACAATGTGGCTGTGGGCTTATTGGAGCATAAATCCCGTCTGAAACATAAATGCCCAGACGGTCCCCTTGTCCAACATTTTTCTGAGAAGGGACACAGTCTGGAGGACTTTAAATTTGTGGTATTGGAAGTGGTTCGTCCAAGTAAATATAACGTATTGGACATGCATAAATTGTTACTGCGCAGGGAGGCGTTTTGGATTTTCAGATTAAACACGTGTCAACCTGCTGGTCTCAATATGTCGTTGGATTTAACCCTTTTTTTTGTAAGTGTGTTATAAGTATTCTGCTAGGGATAGGTTGTTCTTTATAAGTATTCTTTCTTCTTTATTCTTCTTTATTATCAGGAGTGTAGATCTGTAGGTGTAAGTTGTAGTGCTCATGTAAGTTTCCTGTTTCTCTACCTATTGCCTTGTCAATTGCAAGACATGGGGTCTGTGCCTTTAAGATAGGCTAAGCTACAGATTTAAATAGGAGGTGACTAGCCACACCTGTTATGGCTTGTTACTGAATGTGTTCGCGTGACTTTGATAGAGTTAGTCTTGCAAGAGAATGTTCTACCTTTTGGGGTAAGGTGTCATATAATAATTTTTAATGTTGAATTTTGTTATATATTGTAAAGATGTATAATTAATGCATTATACGATTTATTTGTAGAAATTGAGGAATAGTATTGGACAATGAACTAATCATGGCATGAAATTTGAAATGAGAAGATACAACTGTATGTATAACAATCTTTAATAACTAACTATCTTTTTGGTATATTGTTCAAATGATGAGTTAATTATTACATGTTGTAATTTGTATTTTTATAAAAGGAATTTAATGTTTGGAGAAAGTTCTCACGAAATGAAGGTTCTACTCCAGAGAATCTCGTCAACATCTGGAATTGAACATCTAGGATTGGAATATTACAGAAATTGTATATTGTATTTTGTAATTTTGTATTACTGTATTAACTTAAGTACACAGCTGTTAGAATATACACGCATTTGCACAATTGCAGCTTTCTTGTTATTTGTTGGAACTCAGGACTTTGGCAGAATGTACCAGATGTTTTATGAACAATTGACTGAGTCCCATTGCTGAGAAATTTGTTGGAACTCAGGACTTTGGCAGAATGTACCAGATGTTTTATGAACAATTGACTGAGTCCCAATGCTGAGAAACTTGGTACATTCCGCCTCCTTCCTGGCCAATCAAGATAGCTTCCTTCGGTTGCTGCTAAGAGTCCACAATAAGGGGGAGGGAGGAAGAGGAGGAAGAGGAAGAAGAAGAGGAGGAAGAGGAAGAGGATGATGAGGATTATGAGGAGGAGGAGGAGGATATTGGATTTATACCCCGCCCTTCACTTGGAGTCTCAGAGCAGCTTACAAACTCCTTTTCCTTCCCCTCCCCACGACAGACACCCTGTGAGGTGGGCGGGGCTGAGAGAACTCTGACAGAAACTGCTCTTTTTCAAGGACAGCTGTGCCAGAGCTTGTGACTGACCCAAGTTCACATCAGCAGGTGCAAGTGGGGGAGTGGGGAATCAAACCCGGTTCTCCCAGATTAGAGTCCACACACTTAACCACTACACCAAACTGGCTACACCAAACTGGGTCGCCTTGAGGCTGCAGTGAAGTAGGTGGAGCACAAGGCCTCAGCGGTTGCCAAGGTGACAACAGTCATTGGGAGCTTCCAAGAAACAGCTTCCCCTTCAACAGGTGCCCCTCAAGAGCTTCTCTTCTCACCCTGACCTGGGATAGCCCAGGCAAGCCCAGTCTTGTCAGATCTTGGAAGCTAAACACGGCTGACCCTGGAAAGTACTTGGAAGGGAGACCTCCTCAGAATGCCAGGGCTAGGATGCAGAGGTAGACAATAGCAAGAGGACGAAGAAGAGACTGGATTTATACACTTCACTCACAAAGCGGCTTCCGATCACTTTTCCCTTCCTCTCTCCGCAACAGACACAGTGTGAGGTAGGTGGGGCTGAGAGAGCTCTTTCGAGGACTGCTCATGAGAGAACAGCTCTGAGAGAACTTATGGCTTTCCCAAGGTCACACCAGCAGCTGCATGTGGAGGAATGTGGAATTAAACCCGGTTCTCCCAGATTAGAGTCCACACTCCTAACCACTACACCAAACTGGCAAGCCACCTCTCTGAAATGTCCTAGCCCCACCAGGGGTCGCCAGAAGTCAACCATGACTTCCATGCATACACACATACACTCACCCCTCCCCAAAAAGAGTTTCTCTTCTTATTTCGACTTACTGCCCGAATAGTCCATCTACCCGGCCAGAATGCTGTAGAAGCCTCAAAGGGAGAACTACAAGCAACTCTTCTTCAATCATTTGGTTCCTCTCCCCTTCCCAAGATTTTCTTTCAGCAGGTAAAACAGCTGCTTGAATGAAGGATCAGGGTGGGGGAGAGAACTTTTAACTAGGGTTGCCATCTCTGACTTGGGAAACTCCTGCAGATTTGAGGTCAGTGCGTGGGGAAGGACTTCAGCTTCTCCTAGATTCTATGGGATACCATAGAATTTGTCCCGCCAACAGCCCTGTAGCTCAAAACTTTGGTGTTCTGGGGCAGGGGCCGGGCACTGGGCTAGGGGAGTGGGGAACTTAATTTGCTTACTAATTAGATTAGTTCCTAAATCGATGCAATGGGCATGGAGCTGGGTAAGCCCTGGGGGATGGCAGAAGACAGGAGGGCCTGGCGTGATGTGGTCCACGGGGTCGCGAAGAGTCGGACTCGACTGTGTGACTAAACAACAACAACAACAATTACCGGTCCAGGCCAAGGCCCCTCCTCTCCACTAACCCCTCCCCCTCACTCCCCCCCTTCCCTTTTCACCCCCCGCCCCCCAGTTTTATTCTTCTTCTCTCCCAGCCATTCAGATCTGGAGTCCAAACTTGCCGTTTCCTTGCAGAGGAAGGAATCCAGCGCCTCTTTCTTGCTTCCCAGCTCTTTTCTCTCTCGCCCCCTCTTTAAATCAGGAGGGCCAAGAGGCGGAGGGGATGGGGCTGCAGTTCATTCAGACTGGTCACCGTGGGAATGGGAAATGGCCTTGTAATGTATTGAAACGATTACATGAATCACCTCATTGAACTCCCATGTTAAGCTTAAAGCCAAGCTAGGGCTCCTCTGAACGGACTTCCTATTGGTCGCTCTGTAACAGCGACCAATCAGAACTGTACTATCCCCTGGGAGGGAAAGACTCCCATTGGTCTTTAACTCATCAATCTCATTGGTTGTTAAATGTAAATAGGCGTGGCTATATTAGCCCGGTAATGTTTAAAAGGAGCATAGCTCCCAGTGTTTTTTTGTTCTGGTTTTGAATGCGTTTGAGTGTTTGTTCGCTACTTCAAATAAAGCTGAATCACTGAGCTGAAATCATTCTCTGGTCCTTTGTTAGCGCGATCTAACAGGCCTGGTAGGGAGGGCAGAGCTGGCAAGGTCACGGGGGTGCCATGTGGGCAGGGGACAGCGCGGCTCACCTTAATTCATACCCGGAAGCAGGCTGAGGACAGGGCGCACCACGGCTCACCTTAGTCGCCAAATGCAGGCTATGGGGCGGGCACAGCGTGGTGCGACTTGGGTACCAAAATAAATATTTTAAAAATCTGGTTTATGACAGCAGGACTTGTGGGGCGTGGCTGTAGAGTGAGGGGGCATGGCCCCGAGATGCCCCGCCATGGCCACGGGCCTGCCTCCAAAGCAGCCATTTTCTCCCGGGGAAGCATAAATATCAGACAGGATAATATTATGCACGATTTAGACTGCTACAAAATTAATGGGGGTGGGGGAATGATACAGGAGGAGGAAAAAATAAGACAGAGCTAAACACCCGGATACAAAATAATATGTGTCTTCATAGACCCATCTTGTATTCTGTTTCTTGAACATACTAGAGCAGGGGGGATTGTCTGAGAAACCATAGAGTTTCTGTAACCCATTGTCACTTACGGGCGTAATCCCATATCCCTGGGTTGTTCTGGGAATTGTCCGAAGCTTTACAATTTTATCATAGAGTTTGTGTCAATTCCTAGAACTACCCACTGTCACTTCCAGGTTGTACCCAGAAGTGGTGTACCAGCAAGGAGGCCATCAGTGATCTTTTTCTTTATTCTTGTTGCCACTCAAAGCACAGGCAGTCAATGGAGAAGGTCCGTGGAAAGCTTCCTTCTATAGCGGGAGAACTAGTAGCCCTACCGACAGTACAGAGCAGGGCCTGCGTGGAATTATGAACGGACACGTTGAATGCTCCTGCAGGGAAGGTGGGGAATTTTGGACACCAAGATCGGCAATGTTTATAAGCCTTGAGAGTCCAGGTCCTCAGAGGATTTGGTCTTGGTTTGCGTCGTACTCTGGCTTTCCTCCTCGGCGAAGGCATTCTCAAATACCGCCAGGATGGAGCGCCTCAGCCTTTCCTTGAAATCGTGCCCCATGAAGACGTACAGGATGGGGTTCAGGCAGCTGTTGATGAAGGCCAGGCTAGAGGCCAGCGGGATACCGATAATGAGGGCCAGATGCAGCGTGTGGTCCTCGTAGGCTCGAATCTCGAGGAAGGAAAAGACATGATAGGGGAGCCAGCAGACGAAAAAGGCCGCAATCACGGCAGTGATGACCTTGAAGGGCTTGCTCGACCGGGCCAGGCGGTCCCTCCTCAGCCGCAGAACAATCGCCCCATAGCAAATAATGATGACGGGAAAGGGGATCGCAAAGGCAAACATGAAGCGACTGATAATCATGGCACGGTGGATGACAAATGCCTGTTTCGTATCGTGGCTATATTTGGTATAGCAGTTGATCACATCCGTATTCCACGCGGTCTTCCTGAAATGGATGTTCGGCGAACTCAACACCAGGGCCAGAACCCAAACCCCGAAAGCCACAAAGGAAGCGCAGCGGGGGTTCCGGTGATTCTGAGCCCACACGGGGCGTAACACGGAAATGCAGCGGTCGATGCTGATGACCATGAGGAGGTAGACGCTGGCATAGAGGTTGACGAAGGCCACGGTGCTGTTGAGCTTGCACATGGCCTCCCCGAAGGGCCAGTGAAAGCCCAGGGCTAGGTAGGCAATGCTCAGGGGCAGGAAGAGGGTGAAGGTGAAGTCGGCGATGGCCAAGTTGAGGAACCAGACAGTGTTGACCGTCCTCTTCATACGGAAGCCGGTGATGAGGATGACCAGCCCGTTTCCGATGACCCCCAGCACGAAGGCAATGCTATAGATGACCAAGGAGAAGATGTGCAGCCTTTTCCGCAAAGTTAGTTGGAAGAGATACTCTTCATCGTCATAATAGTCATAATAGATGGCAGTGGTGACACTGGAATCTGGGTGGGCGACCTCCAGAGGGGTAAGTTGAGTTGTGTTCTCCATTCCTTTTGGGGGAGGCTCTCCTTCACTCCGGTCTTCTGTCTTCTCCTGGAGGGAAAAAGAAGACCATAAGTACTGCCTTGTGAGATCAGATCCTCGTCCACCTATCCGAGCGTTCGTTTCCAACAGCCGCCAACCAAATGCCTGTGGAGCTTCACAAGCAAAGACCTGCAGGGGACGGCTTTTGCCCTGGAATTTGTGCTCCAGTCTCTGGTTTAACCACAGAGTTTTGGCAGAATGCTTAGAGTGTCACCGGTGACCAGCTGATGTCACTTCCTATCATGCCAGGATCGTCATCAGCACATCAGGATGCTGAGGATTAACCCTCTCATCCCCTTCCCTTTGTTCTCCCATTGCCCAGATGACGAGCAGCAGGAAGGAACCACTGAAGGCAGAAGATTCCCCACCCCAGCGGGTAGTTGGCCAGCCTGTGGGCCAGCCAGGCTCTGCCCTGCATTTTCAAAGGATACCCCAAAGATGCCCAGTCACTTGTGATAAACCAGGAGGAAACGCACGGTCATAGGTCCATCCAGACCCAGCAAATGGCCCTGACCTCCTTGGAATACCAGAGGCAAGAGGTGGGGGCAGGCTTTCTCCAGCCACCTCTCCGAATATCCTCCAGGCCCCCAGTACGGGGTCCGTCAGCAGAGGTCGCCATGACTTCCAAGCACGCACACACACATGCGTGCACACACGTGCCTATGAAAAATGCAAAAAAAAAAAACCTAATAAAATAACATAAAAATGGAATGCTGAACTAGACGGGCGCCAAGGCCGTTGTTTGTCCACGGGGATTTGAGGGACACCGTACTGAAAAGGTTAGGGACCGTTGCCCGAAGGGAAACGGCAGCTTTGGAAGCCGGAGTCTGTGGCCTGACATCCCTACTGAAACACATACACCCATTCTACCCTTCCCAGGTTTCAGGATCCACAGCAAGTAACTCTTCACACACGTTTCCTAAGAAGCGTTATGCTTTATTAGTGTACAAGACTGCTACCGTGTCCACAGGATTATTGTTAGGAATAACTAGAAGGCGGGAACATCCCAATACATATAGCTGGGCATGGTAACTAGCTAAGCAAATGAACTTTGAGCGCACAGGTGGGAAGACTCCCGGCAGGAGATTACATCATGAGCAGGAGAGTCACGGGATATCCTGAGAGCAGAAAGATTCGCACCAAATGTGGACCGCAAGCCCTCCCTACCTCACAAGGCCAGACTGATGGCGTCTAGCTCCCACGGTCTCCCGGGCATGTTTACGGCAAGCTGCTGAGCTGCAAGCAAGCGGGAACAGGGAAAGGCAGAATACACATAAATGGCAGCTCGCTGACACCAGGCTCCATCCCCAGACCTCCAGGAATTTCCCACCCTGGAGGAGGCAACCTTTAGACACAGGCCGCAGTGGATTTCATACAGGTGAAACTTGGCTGTCTGCATAGTGAGGGTTGCCAGGTCTGAGTTCGGAAATACCTGGAGATTCTGTGGGTGGAGCTTGAGGAGGGCGGGGTTTGGGGAGGGGAGGGACTTCCGTCGGGTAGAACGCTGTAGGTCTCCTTCACCTGGAGTTCAGTTGTAACCCCGGAGGACCTCTAGCGATCATCTGCAAGTCGGCCACCCTGATGGGCACCACGTCAGGGACCCCTGCCTGCTCTAGGTAGAGGCGGGAGTTCTCCCAGGATTGTAACTGATTTCCAGACTACAGGCAAAATGGGAGCTTGGGAGCGCTCTATGGTCTCCCTCTCCTCCTCAGTCTCCACCCACCCTCCAGGTCTCTGGGAATTTCCTGGCCTGCAATTGGCAACCGTGCTTAACCACACCAGCACCAATGTCAAGAACGAGGCAGTTCAGTCTGGTGCAGTTACAGGTTCCTGTTTCCCGTTCCTCGTCTCGTGCGTCCGGCTGCAAAACCGTCTCCACCGCTCACCTCTTAAGCTCCCCTCCAACCCAAGAGCACGGGGCTGCCAAGTAAAGAACCACACTCCCCTTACGTGGCAGCTGCCATTTCAGTGGTTTCCACAGTTTACAATGTTTCAAGCCCGGTAGCCATGCTAGTCTGCAGTAGAAGAAGAGCAGGGTTCGAGTCCCGTATCACCTTGGAGACTGACAAGATTTCCGGGGTAGAAGCTCTCAGTTTGGAGATTTGGAGGTACGGTTGCCAGGTCTTTCCTGGCCACCAGGAGATAGGGTTGCCAGCCTCCAGGTGGGATCCCCTGGAAATACATCTTACCACTATACAACAAATATCAGCTCCCTTGGAGAAAATGGCCACTTTGGGAGGTGGACTCTGCGGCATGGCAACCCACTGAGGAGGTCCCTGTCCTCCCCAGGCTCCATCCCCAAATCTCCAGGAGTTTCCCAACCTGGATCTGGCAACCCTACACCCCCACCCCCCACCAGTGGCCAGGGGAGGACCTAGTAACCCTACAGTGGCAGGAGGTGGGTGGGTGGGGGTAGGGTTGCCAGGGGGTGGAGCCTGGGGAGAACAGAGGCCAATTCTGCCTCTGGTATTCGCACCACGGTTTCTCAACGGGGAGGGAAAAGTGCAGCTCAAAACCACACTCAGAGACCTTGGGGGCAACGCCCGAACGGCTGTAAAACAGCCAAAAATCTATGCAGAAGGTGCCATAAAATCCAGCGGTCAGAGGAAGTGAAAGCGGCACGCAATGTAGAGGGGGGATTTCTGTTCCAAGGTGGGCTTCGTCAAACAACGGAGGGAAAAGACAACGCAGAATCAGCCAGATTCGCAGGGTTCTTGGGAGGATAAACCGGAGGACAGAAGAATGACATAAGCCACTTTGGGGTCCCCGTTAAGGAGAAAGGCAGGGTAGGAATGGATTAAATAAATAATTAAAATAAATAGTCTTCGGGGGGGGGGGTACCGGATTCCTATTGGATTCTGCCGCTACAAACTCACATACCCCCCCCAAAAAAAATCTCCAGCAACCATCAGCAGAATTCTACACCTTCTAAGCTCGTGGGCTTCCATGGACTTGGGAGGGTTTAACTCTGCATGGTTCATGTGAAGAGGAGTAGGGGGGAAAGGAGAGTTGGATTTATACCCCACCCTTCACTCGGAGTCTCAGAGTGCCTTATAACAATCTCCTTCCCTTCCCCTCCCCACAACAGACACCCCGTGAGGTAGGCGGGGCTCAGAGAGCTCTGAGAGAACTTGTGACTGGCCCAAGGCCACCCAGCTGGCTGCATTTCAACGAGTGGGGAATCAAACCCAGTTCTCCCAGATTAGAGTATGTTCTCTTAACCACTATACCAAACCGGTTTTCTTTTGCTTGCACTGACCTGGACAGGGGGATGAACGGTGTCCCGGATGGGAGAACACGGACTCCTGTGAGGGATGTCCCTCGGAAGGACAGATCAGAGATTCCGGATGAATGAAAAATGAAGTCCTTTCAAGTCAGCCAAAGGCGGCTCAGCCATGAAGCTGACCCTCTGCAGATCCTCTCACGGCCCCACCTACCTCCTTCTGCTTCTCAATCCTGCCTCTTATAGAGGAGCTGTCAAGGGGGTGGGGAAATGACGGATGGTCCGCACCTAAGCGTCAACTTTTTGTGGGTAGATGGGGAAGTTGAACGCTGTTGTGCAACACCCGGAGGTGCATGTTGTTAACGCAGTGCGTTTTTAAAAAGAAAATCAAGGATTCCTTCAGCAACGGCTGAGTCTGCTGGTGCATGTGGTGGATGGGAACCCACACACCCCCCCTCCCGGCTGGCTCTGCTCCCGAGCGATGGTCCTCCTAAGCTGTGGAGCCTCGTGAGCAAAAATTCAACTTTGTGAGCTACTGGCATTGAAGTTGTGAGTGAGCCATTTGGCTCCTGCATAAACCAGTTTGCTTTGGAGCCGTGCTTCCTGAGCTAAGGCAAAAATGTGTGAGCCGGAGGCTAAAAAACGGTGAGCTAGCTCACACTAACTCAGCTCAGAGGGAACACTGCTCCCGTGCCTTTACTATGAACTTGGTGAAGTAATTTTTGGCATGAACTGCAAAAGAATAGGAACAGCTCCAGCGGCTTATTCTCAGGGCACCTGACGGCTGTCACAGGCGGAGGTCTACAGCTGGAAACAAGGAAGCAATGTCTCTGGCCAGGATGTGAAAAGAGAATCAAAGCATTTCTAAGCAGTGCGTGGAAAAGGTCTAGTCTGTAAGCTACCAGAAGCCATCAGCCAGGGCTGCTCCCACAATGGGCTGCCGGCACCAGGTTGGGACGGACATTAGGAGGTGGAGCCTGGGGTGGGTGGGGCTCCGCCCCATAGCTACAGTGGGGCTACTGGGGGGTCTGCCCCTTCCTTAAAGGGCCAGCTCCACAATACTTTTGTGAAGTTTTTTGAGTGGGGGGCAGACGGAACCCCTGCTACCTTTCAAAAGCATTTAAAGGCCACCCCTCTCCCTCCCCTCCTGCAAGATTTGAAGATGCTAGATGAAGAAGAAGAAGAAGAGATTAGATTTATACCCTGCCCTTCACTACCCAAAGGAGTTTCAGAGCGGCTCCTTTCTCTTCCTCTCCCCGCAATAGACTCTATATGAGGTAGGTGGGGCTGAGAGAGCTCTTTCGAGAACTACCCTTGAGAGAACAGCTCTGAAAGAACTTGTAACTGACCCAAGGTCACGCCAGCAGCTGCATGTGGAGGCATGGGGAATCAAACCCCACTGAAGTACCTCCCCTCCCCTTCACAAACTCCTTGTCTCAGAAGCTTGCTGGAACTCAGGACTTTGGCAGAATGTACGAGATGTTTTATGAACAATTGACTGAGTCCCATTGCTGACAAACCAACTTGGTATGTTCCGCCTCGTTCCTGGCCAATCAAGATGGCTTCCTTCGGTTGCTGCTAAGAGTCCACAATAAGGTACAAAGAAGAAGGAGGAGGAGATTGGATTTATACCCCGCCCTTCACTACCCAAAGGAGTCTCAGAGCGGCTTACAAACTCCTTTCCCTTCCCCTCCCCGCAACAGACACCCTGTGAGGCGGGTGGGGCTGAGAGAGCTCTGACACAAACTGCTCTTTTTCAAGGACAGCTGTGCCAGAGCTTGTGACTGACCCAAGGTCACATCAGCAGGTGCAAGTGGAGGAGTGGGGAATCAAACCCGGTTCTCCCAGATTAGAGTCCACACACTTAACCACTACACCAAACTGGCTACACCAAACTGGGTCGCCTTGAGGCTGCAGTGAAGTAGGTGGAGCACAAGGCCTCAGCTGTTGCCAAGGTGACAACAGTCATTGGGAGCTTCCAAGAAACAGCTTCCCCTTCAACAGGTGCCCTTCAAGATCTTCTCTTCTCACCCTGACCTGGGATAGCCCAGGCAAGCCCAGTTTTGTCAGATCTTGGAAGCTAAACACGGCTGACCCTGGAAAGTACTTGGAAGGGAGACCTCCTCAGAATACCAGGGCTAGGATGCAGAGGTAGACAATAGCAAGAGGACGAAGAAGAAGAGATTGGATTTATACACTTCACTCACAAAGCGGCTTGCAATCACTTTTCCCTTCCTCTCCCCACAACAGACACCCTGAGAGGTAGGTGGGTCTGAAAGAGCTCTTTCAAGGACTGCTCATGAGAGAACAGCTCTGAGAGAACCTATGGCTTGCCCAAGGTCACACCAGCAGCTGCATGTAGAGGAGTGTGGAATTAAACCCGATTCTCCCAGATTAGAGTCCACACACCTAACCACTACACACAAACTGGGAAGCCACCTCTCTGAAATGTCCCAGCCCCACTAGGGGTCGCCAGAAGCAGGGCCGGCTCACCCACTAGGCGAACTAGGCATTCGCCTAGAGCGCCGGGCCCTGGATGGGGCGGCCGGCCCTGGATGGGGGTGCCGAACTGCACCTCCCCCCCCCACCAAAAGCCCGCGCGCCATTGCCGCTCCCAGCCGTGGGGTGTGTGGGGCGCGAAAGGGGCCGATGAATGCTGTAGAAGCCTCAAAGGGAGAACTACAAGCAACTCTTCTTCAATAATTTGGTTCCTCTCCCCTTCCCAAGGTTTTCTTTCAGCAAGTGAAACAGCTGCTTGAACTTGAATGAAGGATCAGGGTGGGGGAGAGAACTTTTAACTAGGGTTGCCATCTCTGACTTGGGAAACTCCTGCAGATTTGAGGTCAGTGCGTGGGGAAGGACTTCAGTTTCTCCTAGATTCTGTGGGATACCATAGAATTTGTCCCCCAAACAGCCCTGCAGCCCAAATTTTTAGGGTTCTGGGGCAGGGGCCAGGGCACTGGGCCAGGGGAGCAGGGAACTTAATTTGCTTAGTAATTAGATTAGTTCCTAAATTGATGCAATTGGCCTGGAGCTGGGCAAGCTCTGGGGGATGGCGGAAGACAGGAGGGCCTGGCGTGATGTGGTCCCTCCTCCAGGTATTTCCCAATCCAGAGCGAGAAAACCTAATGTTGGGCTAGGTGGACAGTGTGTCTGATCCGACAGGACTGTTCTGGGGTTCTTTTGAGAGGGTAACTGCTGTAAGGTTGAAGAGGGAATTAGATAAGCATATGGAGCAGAAGTCCATCAGTGGCTATTAGCCACAAGGTATAGATAGGGACCCTGGGGCGAGTGATGCTCTGTATTCTTGGTGCTTGGGGGGGTCAACAGTGGGAGGGCTTCTAGTGTCCTGGCCCCACTGGTGGACCTCCTGATGGCACCTGGTGTTTTTGGTCACTGTGTGATAGAGTGATGGACTAGATGGGCCATTGGCCTGATCCAACATTGGCATCTCTTATGTTCTCATGTTCTTAACCTCCAGGTGGGACCAGAATTATAACTGATCTCCTGACATCAGTTCCCTTTTGAGGGTGGACTGTATGGTATCACGCTCCTGCTGATCTCCTTCCATCCCCCAAACTCCATCCTTCCCAGTCACCATTCCCAAATCTCCAGAAATTTCCCAAACTGGAGTTGGCAATCCTAGACCAGCTCTGTATTTAGAGTTTCTTTCTTTCTTTCTTTCTTTCTTTCTTTCTTTCTCTCTCTCTCTCTCTCTCTCTCTCTCTCTCTCTCTCTCTCTCTCTCTGTCTCTCTCTGTCTCTCTCTGTCTCTGCTCATTTTTGTATTGTAAGTCACTCAGAGTCCCCATTTAGGAGAAAAAGCAGGATGGAAACAATAAGATCAAGAAATGGGTGTGCCTTCCAATTGGGGGGGGGGGAGCCACAGCCAGAACAACATCTCATGCAGAGACATAACAGGCACCTTTCTCAGTGCATAAGTCATTCTGTAGCATTGCTGCATAAGGAATGATTGAATGTTCTGGCTGCACCCAATCCAGAAATATGACAGAATTACACACACACCCAGCAAGAACAGGAAATCATTCAGAGATGCACCAGGCAGCCTCCTCTGTGGGTGAGAACTTTGGGCTCACAGACAGCTCTAATTATTTAAATTAGCATTAGCTTGGAGCACACAGTTGGGTGGATGACTGCTTTACCAGCACAGGCTGAGACTGCTAGCATTTAACAAGGACAAAGGCCATTTTTCCGGCACCCATCTCTGGCAAGATGCTGCCTTTGCGTATGTCAGTTCAATGGGACTTGCTTTAGAGTTAATATGCCAAAGAGTGCCACCACGATGATTGAATTTGAGGTTGAAGTGGCAGAAAGACACTTCTTCTTTTACCAAAGACCACAATCCGATTCACTCTTCCTCTTGAGTCACCGTGCATAGAGTCACCACCCAAACATTTTCCCCCTTCCCAAGATTTTCTTGAAATTTATTTTTAAACCGTACTGGGTAGTTGACTGACACTACCTTCCTTCTGCAGGCAGTGCAGGAACGGCTGGTATAGAACAAGGGGATGCAGGAAGCTGAGAAGGGGGAAAGGCCAGGGCTCAGTAGTAGGGCGATGGCTTCCCAGGCAGGTGGCCACAGGTTCAATCCCCGGCATCTCCAGTTTGAAAGATCAGAGAGCAGGTGATGGGGAAAACCCCAGAAAGCAGCTGCCAGTCAGAGTGGACAATACTGGACAGACAAAAGGGTTTGACTCAGTAGAAGGCAGATTCACATATGTTCATGGGAAGATACCCTTTTGCTGTGCATGGTGCAGGGTGGGTGGGCAGTGCTCAGTCCGTGACCTTGAGGGTGAGAAGAAGGGGGGCACGTGTGGGCAGGGGGCAGCAGGACCAACCCTCCACCCAGGTGGCCACTTGGGACTTTACAATATTGAGAGGGTGCTGACACAGCACTGGAACTCGCCTTGCTTCCAACCAGCAGTGGCGCAGAAGGAAATGACGACTGTGTATTGGGGATGTTATGTGCACTCATGTTGCTTCATCAAGACTTATGGTGACTCAGTGAATGAATTGCCTCTAGAACATCCTGTCCTTAACAGCCTTGAGACTGGAAAGGGAAACTGCTGAATTACAAGTTATTACAACTCTTGGAACAAAAACCTCCCCAGGACTCAACAGGGATATTGGTTTCTTATCTCATTACATATATTAACTCATATTAACTCATTCAGTCCTC